TTATTGATGCTTAATTAACTTGAATGGTGATTTGCAGCTGGTAAAGTTTAACATCTTGACTTGCCTTACCCGTTTTATCTTCATTTGAAGTTAAAGACCGCGAGCTTGTTTGAGAAAAAAAGGTGCTCATTTTTGCACATTTAGCTGCATCTGTTTCCAGCGCTTTCCTCTTTTTAATTCTTGCCTTCTCCGCGCCACCCTTGCTCTTTCTACTTTCCATCTTTCCGTCAACTGCATGGTCACGTGGTGCGCACAGGCGCATACAGGGAAAAAAAATAACGAGCGGCAGCCTGCAGGTAGAGACAGCCGGGAGGAGCGTATGAGATCAGCCCGGCGGCCTCAGTGCCATGACTGAACACCGGCACAAAAAAATAAAAATGATAAAAAACAAAAAGGAGAGCACCGGCCCATGCGGCCCAAACATCGCGCGGCCCACCGGGAATTCTCCAGACCCTCCCGATTAGCCACTCCGGGCCTGTTGAAAAGCCTAAATCTCTCAGGACTGATGGGCTAGAGGCTAGTTCAAACAAACCCTAACCCAATCTCCAAATTTTCATAATGTGTCATGCTGTCGTTTTATAAACCTTTGCATCTCCATCAGTTATTTATATAGAATACTGTTATTTTTCCATTATTTAAATGTCGCCTGCAGAAGTAACTTGGGTTTTTTTTTCCGGTGCATCTAAAGGTCAAGTCTGACAAAGATTTCTAAATATTCCCACCAATATATGCCTGCATTGTAAAATTGAAAAGGTGTAAAAGTTTGTAAAACAACACCACATAAATGTTTGTCTAAGCTGTGCTTGGGCTAGCTGTTAGCTCATCCAGCTTAAGCTGTTTCTCCAAACGGAGTCCATTCAGGAAGCTTTAGGTAAGATAGTGATTTCTTATAGCATTTACACACACGCCTACTTGTTTCATGTTCTGCTTGAATCAAATTATTAATGGATTTATAACAAGTCCATCTTATTCTCTGTGTCTATCACACTCCTCACATGTTACCAGGAAAGGCTTTTTCCTTCTTTAATGTTTTGGATTGAGTGATGCTGACTGAAACCTCAAATTTTCGTGGCTTTGATGTAGCTGTTTAGTCATTATCTTTAAATACAGCACTCCACCACCTATGCTTAGGAGTCAAAAATCCCAGTGGTTGACATTTATAAATGTTCCACAAAATGAGCAGTTTGCCTTTTTGTTTGACAGCTCTTTTATTGATTGATTTATACTTTGAAACAATGTTGAATATAACCATTTGGGGCAGAAAACAAGACAAAGTCAGAAAAATAAACAAAGCGCTAACAAGCATTAAAACAGTCTACTTTTGTATTTGTGACCTTTTCCCCTTTTTAGAAGAATGCATGCTCATACTCTGCTTTGCAGCAGAGTATTAATTGTCTGGCTGAGCACTTTGGATAATATTAGTTTCTGGCAGCCGCAGTTCTAAAAGCCTGGATTTTTGTTTTTTTCTGACGCAAAACTAAGACAGATTGTCTCCTGCCAAGAGCTGAGTCAGATCCATCCAGAAATAAACCTGCACAGCAAACTATGGAAACAGAAACAATCAAGTCAGAAAATGAGCTCTCGTTTTGGCCGACTTGCACAAAGGAAGTTAACTTTCAGAACTGTGTGTAACAGCACCTTCTGCAGAAAGACGCTGATAGCATCAGGAGCAACTAGTGAGTGTTTATTTCAAGCTTATCACTTTAATTACACGGTAAATTTGAAGTGTTCATGTAATTAAATAGGCCAGTGACGCTGTCCGTTAATCAGCTGGCGAAAACGTTCGTGGAGACAAACTGGTGACCTCCCAAACTCCCTCCTTGACTTCCCAGTTACTTTTACACTTCCAGCTCCATTCGGGTCTATGTTTGTTTTCAAGACCCTGTAATTTCCCCACCAATCACTCACAAGGGCCCCCGTCATGTCTGCCATTCATAAAGTTTAAAGTAGTTCTTAGTGGTCCGTGGAGTTTATTGAAACATTAAATTTGTATCCGTGCAGTGATGGTGTATCTTTAGATGTCGCTGAAACTCACGTGCTCGGTTTGGTCTCTCTGCATCAACCGCCAATTATGTTCTGCTCTTGGGTGTGGGCTGAGCTTCGGTCAGCACGGCAGGGAAACCAGAAACATCAATTCCTGGGCAGTAGAGCGAACAAAAACAGACAAAATGTGAAAACCCTTCTTTCCAAACGCTGTTATCATTGTGGAGTACAAGCACAAACAACGCTAACGTTGCCAGTAAGGCCGTTCCAGAAGTGCTCTCTGGGGAATTTAGGAAAATCCGAAAGGCTGTCATTAGGTACAAGATGAAGGCCCGAACAAAAGACCTCCAGGATTCACAGCTGCAAAAGGGACAAAGAAAGTTTGCCCTGTCATGGCTTCCCAGGCTGAAAGTTCTGCAATGCATGATGCAAATTTGTAGTGCATGGTGCACAACTGAATGACGTTTATTTACTGTTTTTAGGCAGGGACTTGTGATTTTGCAAACATTGATGTACTGCATGGACCAGGTCAGAAGTATGTGTGAAAAAGAAAAGTACCAAAGTAGATGGAGCCGCTACTGATTGTCCCACAACAGTTTGCACTCGCTGACTCTGGGTGTGTGCTTAATTAGCTGTGCTCACTTTAGTAAATTCAGTAAAAGCTGTTTAATAAGAGATGTCAGAAAGTGACACTGAACTGCAGGCATGTGTGCGCGTAGTTTACAGTGAGGCCCTCGGGACAATATAAGAGCAAAGCGACGTCACCACCTCCAGTTAACCTAAATCCTAATGGTTATTACAATGAGGGCTGCCAACCACATCAAGCTGCTGCGGGGACGTAATGAGCTCAGCAGAGAGCGCTCTGTCATGCACTTTCATCAGCTTCGGTTCAGTGCTCTAAGCACAGAGTGCCTTTCGAAAACAAGAAATTATGCTTATAAACAACAGCTATCTTATCCTGGTAATTCAAATCCATCTCAGGGTGAACTTGTTTTCCAGCTCAGATGCATGTCGCTGGTTTTTGTTGTTTTTTTTAACTCTGTGTTAAAAGATGAATCATTGTTCTCAGAGCACAGAGCTAAAAATGAAGAACCTATTTCACTGCGGTTTAAGAATGTTTGAGAAACATAAATAAGCCTAAATTATCTGAACCAATAAACATATAAAATCCCGTCCCCACCCTCCTTTGCTCTGTCATTTTATCTAAATCTGACTAAAGCTGGGAAGGCTGGGCCTCCCTTAAGTACATAAGCATAAAGAGGTTTTAAAATAATGTAGCATAACCCCAAAAAATATCTATCAAAACTGCTGGAAACCTGGTGGGGCACTCACAAGCAACTTTGCCAAAATAGAAAAGCCGAAAACTAAGACAGACGCACGTTTCCACAGCTGATGAGGTGATGGGAGATCAAAAAGCTCTAATGCAACATATTTCAATCATCACAGGTGATCCGTCTGCAGCCTTGTCGTCTCTCCAACTTTCAAACATTTGGAAATGAAGATCACAAATTACATTATTTTTATTTGACAGGATGAGTGAACTTAAAGAACACTTGCAAAACATGATTAAGTGCTTAAAGCTAAAGAAGGTAGCACTCTGGGAAATTATAGATAATTTGGTCTAATTTACAAAAAAAAAAGGAGAGAGAGATGGGGGACTTAAATGAACCATGTTGCAGAATCTCTAATTAAACCTTTGGTAAAAGATGTCTGTCACAGTCACGTGCACTATAGACGCCTCGTATAGAGAGTCAGTGAAGCCCTCAGTCACGCAGCTCATCATTTCATCACATATGCACATGTTGTCTGTATGATGTATGGGCATTAGAAGAGCACATGCACTATAAATGGAGGTGCATGGTCAGGAAGATTTTGAAATAGGACATGGACTACCCTACACGTCGTTTATGGCCACTTGTGTGTTTGAGAACATGTGATTATTTGGGTGTATGCATTTCCTATGTGGCTGGAGTGAAGCTGAGAAATTACAGCTGATGGATTTCAAAGTAAGCAAGGTGGAGTGTGAGGGAGGATAATGCGGGATGTCAGAGCTGATTGAGGAAATGTGGCATCATGACAGCTTTGGATGGAATGAATGGGAATAAAACACTCTGGTGGTGTTTATGCATTAAAAGGGCCAAAAATATCACATAACAACAGGGGTTTGACCACTGGCTGCAGCAGTCTCCCTCCGTGTATGGGCGTTGTAGTAAAAGTGTGCCCTCTAGTGTCTGAATAAGAGTACTGCATGCTAGAGGATTCACACTAAAGTTGCATTCACAAGGCTCCACATAAACAAACCAAAATACATTTTCCAGAGGTTCCTCATTTAGTTTAATGAGCTGTTTTCAGGGGAAAACACTTGCAAAAATACACAAGTGGAGAAAAAGTATCCATTACATTAAAGCTGCTTTATCCCCCCATCAGCCACAATAACAATCTGACCAAATGATGCTCAGGAAATGAGTTGAGAACTCAGTTTGAACAGAAATAAACCTGAGTTGCTTAATTTACGACTCTACATAAATAATAAACCGATCTGATCCACTTTAATGAGTTTGATTACTTTGATTCATTGCAAATTTTACCAGAACTTCTAATTATTAATGATGCATTACAGTCAGAAGGGAGTTTCCTTTCTGCAATCAGATCCAAGCTTTGCATTGTCGATAAAATATATGTAAATTCACACAGGTGCTCCAAAGAGTTCTGCTGATTTTTCTTTTCTTGCAATCAGAAACATTTCTAATCAATCCCTCCTTCATACAGAGTTTACCCCTTTTCTCCATTCTTTTATCTTTATTATTTTTTTAGCATAATAATTTTCCTGCTTGAGGAGAAGACAGAAAAAAGTGATAATCATGTGTCTGGATATTCAAGACATGATGGAGACACCCTGATGTGACATGCCTGCTTTGGGCAGATCTGTCTGCTAATTACACCCTGGCTCAGAGGAGGGAGGTACTTGTTTGGTGAGGTTTTTTTTTTTAAATGATGTGAGGGGTAGATAGGGTATAAATACCCACATCATTGTACCAGAAAGCAGCATCTCCTCACTCGTGCTCCTACCCTAAGGATATACAGTAGCACCAGAAGCTCACTGGTGCTGAAGAGATTTGGGTTTCCTCCCCTTGATGCTGGTATGTGTGCTTTCACTTTCACTCTATTTTTTCTATTTGTGGAGGGTTGTAGCAAAAGTGGACTTTAAGCATTTGTGTTGCTGTAGCCTGATGGGAAGGTGTGTTGGAGAATATTGGAGGCTTTTGTGACTAGAAGGATAAACAGCAAAATGTAGCCATTTTTCTCCTTATCTGCATTTTGAAGTACTTTCTGTTGAGTTTTTGCAAAGCTTCAAACTCATAGTTGAGGGCAATATTTCCAAATGAAAATAAGACCTGAAGCTTGCACTTGGAAAACTTGTGATTCTAACTAACTTCCTCCTGATTTTCTTACAGATTAGACCTTGCGAGATGGATTTGCGAGTGGTGAGCATCCTGCTCCTCGTCGTGGCCTCTGCAGCAGCCACTGGAAAGGGGTATGTGGTGAAGAAAGTGGTGCCCTACAACGTTAAGAGCCAGGGTGAGTAAACGCAGCATCTCAACCTTCTCCCCACACTTCTGAAACTTGATGATATAAAGCACAACGCTGCAGCCAATAGGAGCACCTCAGATGCTGGTCACAGCTGCACATGACTGTAAAAACTCAACTGGAATGGTAGTGCACTCTGATTGGCTGCAGCGTTGTGCCTGCCTTTCTGGTGTCTCTTTAAATCTGACACTGAAAACAAGCTTATTTATTCACTGCAAAGCAGATTCTACTAGAACAACAAATATCTCATTTTCATTTTTTTGTGCACAACCCGCATTATTTTATCTGACACTCAAACAGTTTTCAAAATGGTTGTTGCCATTTTAAGACTTACAAAACATTACTGTTTTCAGTGCATAGTGATATAAAAATGCAGATTTTTTCCCCTATTTGTTGTGTTTTCAGCTTAAATGTTGCAAATTCACTCAAAACCAGGACAGGGTGTAATTCATTTAGCTGCATTTTCTACTTATTCTCATCTCATTCTAATTCAGTTTCAATTGAATAATGCTGAACTGTATAAAATGCCATAATTATGGAAATGTGCCACATTTATAATATATGTGCAAAGTGATGCATTTTCCTAAAAATGTTGACCAAATGCATCTAAGTGAACCAACGCTCTGCAAATGTTATTATGAAAACGTAGTCATTAGTGGATTATTTTTAGTTTGACACAGCAAATTAGAGCCCAGTCACCCAGCTGTATGGTTGCCTGGGTGTGCCTGCTTAACACAAAAGTACAAACATCTGTTCTGCTTTGTCCAAACTGAGCCAAAATTAGAGGAGGAATCGGCCTATTCTGCTCTGACACATGTGACCACATTTAGGCAGCAAATAAAAAAGGGCTTTTCATTTGGAACTGGTGGTTTAAGTCACAGGAGGTATTTTGAAACACCTGCACCGTTACCAAAACTTAGCATTATTAAGAGGAGTTCAACCTGTGGATAAAAACTTACAGAAATGTAAATATAGGCACACTAGACTGGATTAATTCTGTTCTTCACCAAACCAGTACAGATGTTTGCATCTACAGCCAAACCACTCATTTGATGATGGTCATTTTTCTCTTCTCCCAGTAGTTCCAATGGCAGGTGAGCCTGGTGCTCCAGGTGAGCCTGGCCCCGAGGGACCTCCTGGCCCTCCAGGTGAGAATGGAATTGGTCTGCCCGGACCCCAAGGACCACCTGGACCTCCCGGACATCCTGGCCGATCAATTGCTGGTAAACCTGGAACTCCAGGCGGACCTGGCAAACCCGGTGTCCCTGGAGAACCCGGCGAGAGGGGAGACACTGGAGCCACTGGCCCTCAGGGACCTAGGGGAGCCCCTGGACCTTCTGGAATTCCAGGACCTGCTGGCCTGTCTGCTACTGGCAAACCTGGACCCTCTGGTCTTCCTGGAGCAATGGGACCAAGAGGAGAGCCTGGCCTGAAGGGACACCCAGGTGTGCCCGGACTTCCAGGTGCAAAGGGAGATAGAGGAATTGGAGTGCAAGGACCTCAAGGTGAAACTGGACCTCAAGGACCTGTGGGAGCACCTGGAGCTCCAGGTGAAGCTGGAATTGGTAGACCAGGCAAGCCAGGTGCCCCAGGCGAGTCAGGAAAGTCAGGTAGTCCAGGTAGAGATGGTGCTCCTGGCCCCATGGGACCACAGGGACCTAAGGGACACACTGGTGCCCCAGGTATTGGTGTTCCAGGTAAATCAGGTGAGAATGGTGCCCCAGGTCTGCCTGGTCCAGTTGGACCTAAAGGCCACCAGGGCCCTGCTGGAGCCCCCGGTGCTCCAGGAGTTCCAGGATATGGAAAGCCAGGTGCAAATGGTGAGAAGGGAGAGAGGGGAGCTACTGGTAGTCCAGGTGCCCTAGGTGCAAAGGGTGAGCAAGGTCCAACAGGATACACTGGTGCTACTGGAGCCACTGGTCCCACTGGTCCTATTGGACCTCAGGGTGCAAGAGGATTCCCAGGTGAGCCTGGTGCTGTTGGCCCTAAGGGAGACACAGGTGCAACTGGACCTCAGGGACTTAAGGGACACAAGGGAGATCAGGGAGCTCAGGGCTTCCAAGGCAAGCAGGGCTATCCAGGTGCAGCTGGTCCTCCAGGACCCAGAGGTGCCACTGGCCCTTCAGGTGACAAAGGTCATACTGGTGCCCCAGGTACTCCAGGTGCCCCAGGTATTCCAGGTCCTGCTGGACCCAAAGGTCATCCTGGACGTGCAGGTGAGAATGGTGCCTCTGGATCTGATGGTGCCCCCGGTCCCAGAGGACCTGCCGGTCCACAAGGTCCCGCTGGTGCTCCTGGTCTTAAGGGACACCCAGGTCTGCCTGGTGCTCCTGGCCCTGCTGGTTTGGCCGCTAAGGGTCTAACAGGACCTCAGGGCCCCCCTGGTGAGCCTGGTGAAAATGGTGTTGATGGGGAACCTGGCCCAGCTGGTCCCCCAGGTCCTCCTGGACCTCCTGGTGAGGTTGTGTTTGAGAAAGGCATTGGAATGAGTGAGGTTATGGTCAAGTCCCCAATGTCTGCATTCACTGCAACTCTGGCCACTGCCTACCCCCCTGCTGGTTCTCCCATTAAGTTTAACCAGATTGTTTACAACGCTGAGAACCACTATGACCCTGAGTCTGGCATCTTCACCTGTCAGGTTCCTGGAGTTTACTACTTCTCCTACAGCATCCATGTTAATGGAGCTCATGCCCTGGTGGCTCTGTACAAGAATGATCATCCTGTTATGTTCACTTATGACGAGTACAACAAGGGATTCGTGGACCAGATGTCCGGCAGTGCTGTCCTCCTGCTCGATGAGCATGACACAGTCTACGTCCAGATTCCAGACGAGGAGGCCAATGGTGTCTTTGCTGCTGAGAATGTCCACTGCTCTTTCTCTGGGTTCCTCATTGCCTCAACGTGATACATTAGCTCCGCAAAGTCAGCCAACTAAATTTGCCATCTATTTCTCAAAGTAAACTCCCTGTTCATATTCCTCAAACCTAGCGACAGGCAGTTCGATCTTCTTGAGGAATAGTCGTATCTTGACTTGAAAACTACATGAAATGGGTGCTCAGAAAGAAGGAAAACTAATTTATAAAAACAGGTGATCAGGGATGGGAAATGCAATCTACCATGTTCCAGTGAGCTTTTGAAATGTAAACAACATGTGAACTCAAGGTGTTATAACTGTGTTGTGTCCAGGAATTTCCTTCTCCACATTGTTCCTTTTACATTGGTGCCTCCACACTTAGTGTTTGTTTGTGTACAACCTGTTTTTGTTGTTTGTTCATTTTGTTGTTGCTTTTTTTTTCTTTTTGAGGAGGGGATTTAATTAGAGTACATTGATTCATTTCTGTGCAACTTGTGAGAAAAATGTGACTTGAATATATTGTGAAATGTAATGGTCAAATTGACCATTATACAGAAATACAGTCACCTACTATGCAATATAAAATGTTTAAGATCAACATTGTTATAACCCTTGACATGCATTGTGTTGTGTAAAACATTAAGACCAAATTAAATGTCTTAAAGAACATGTCTGATTGTCAGTGATTTTCTTTTAATGGGAATTTTTGACTAAATCACCATTTTTTTTCTCTGAGTCTTGTTAAATCATTTTAAACATATACACTTATGAGGAACAATTTAAAAGACAAAATATATTTGTGGGCCTTAAAATGGTAAAGAATATTTTAAACTTAAAAATGGTTCTACACCAACGGTTTGTCACTCTAATTTATAGTTTTATTGTGAAAATATTATTAACTTCCTGTTAAATCCTTTAGAAGGTCAATCCATCTATCTGAAAAAATAACATTTGCAGCTCTGAATTTAATTAAATCACAAGGAATGTGTTAAAATCTTAACAAAACTAATACAACAGAATAAATAAAAACACACTTAAAAAATTCAAACATCTTCACAAGAATGTAAATAAAAATAGATGTAAGCAAATACAAAAATAAAAATTAATACAGACATGGACAAATTTGTTGGTGCCCTTCAGTCAATGATTGAAAAACCCACAATGGTCACAGAAAAAAAACTTGAATCTGACAAAAGTAATAATAAATAATAATTATATGAAATCTATGTAATGAAAGTCAGTTATTGCTTTTCAACCATGCTTCAACTGAACTGTTAAAAAAATTAACTCATGGAACAGGACTGGACAAAAACGAAGATACCCCTAAAAAAGACTGAAAATTATGTGACCAAAGGGACATGTTAATTCAAGGTGTGTACACTAACTAGCATCAAGGGTGTTTACATACTTGTAATAGGTCAGTGGCCATTTATATGTGGCTCCAAGTATTCACTGTGTTTTTTGGTGACATGGTGTGTACCACACACAACATGGACAAGTGGAAGTGAAGGACAAAATCCTTACTGACTTGTGTTTCATTAGTTTGGCTAGCATAGTTCTCCCTCTCCTGGTTTTACCTTTTGAGTTTCTTTAACATAGAAAGTACTAATATTATTTAATTTGTGTGTGTGTGTGTGTGTGTGTGTGTGTGTGTGTGTGTGTGTGTGTGTGTGTGTGTGAGAGAGAGAGAGAGAGAGAGAGAGAGAGAGAGAGAGAGAGAGAGAGAGAGAGAGAGAGAGAGAGAGAGCCTGAGCCAGGTTCTGTTGGAGGGTTGGAGGGGAGTTTTCCTCTCCAGTGTCGCTACATGCTTGCTTAGTTTGGGGATTGCTGTTAAGTCTCTGACACAAGTCAGTGACTCGATGCAATCTTCTGTGTTCCTTGTATAGGTAACTTTTAACTAATTGGAATAATTAATTGAATTCAAAGCACCGATAAGTGGGTTCAACTGGACTGTAAACCGAATAGAACCGTACGTATTACAGTGGGGCAAAAAAGTATTTAGTCAGCCACCGATTGTGCAAGTTCTCCCACTTAAAATGATGACAGAGATCAGTAATTTTCATCATAGGTACACTTCAACTGTGAGAGACAGAATGTGAAAAAAAAATCCATGAATTCACATGGCAGGATTTTTAAAGCATTTATTTGTAAATCAGGGTGGAAAATAAGTATTTGGTCAATAACAAAAATTCAACTCAATACTTTGTAACATAACCTTTATTGGCAATGACAGAGGTCAAATGATTACTATAGGTCTTTACCAGGTTTGCACACACATTAGCTGGTATTTTGGCCCATTCCTCCATGCATATCTTCTCGAGAGCAGTGATGTTTTGGGGCTCTCGCCGAGCAACACGGACTTTCAACTCCCTCCACAGATTTTCTATGGGGTTGAGGTCTGGAGACTGGCTAGGCCACTCCAGGACTTTCAAATGCTTCTTACGGAACCACTCCTTTGTTGCCCGGGCGGTGTGTTTGGGATCATTGTCGTGTTGGAAGACCCAGCCACGTTTCATCTTCAAAGCTCTCACTGATGGAAGGAGGTTTTGGCTCAGAATCTCACGATACATGGCCCCATTCATTCTGTCCTTAACACGGATCAGTCGTCCTGTCCCCTTAGCAGAAAAACAGCCCCAAAGCATCATGTTCCCACCCCCATGCTTCACAGCAGGTATGGTGTTCTTGGGATGCAACTCCGTATTCTTCTTCCTCCAAACACGAGTTGAGTTTATACCAAAAAGTTCTACTTTGGTTTCATCTGACCACATGACATTCTCCCAATCCTCTGCTGTATCATCCATGTGCTCTCTGGCAAACTTCAGACGGGCCTGGACATGCACTGGCTTCAGCAGCGGAACACGTCTGGCACTGCAGGATTTGATTCCCTGCCGTTGTAGTGTGTTACTGATGGTGAACTTTTTTACTGTGGTCCCAGCTCTCTGCAGGTCATTCACCAGGTCCCCCATGTGGTTCTGGGATTCTTGCTCACCCTTCTCATGATCATTTTGACCCCACGGGATGAGATCTTGTGTGGAGCCCCAGATAGACGGAGATTATCAGTGGTCTTGTATGTCTTCCATTTTCTGATAATTGCTCCCACAGTTGATTTTTTTCACACCAAGCTGCTTGCCTGTTGTAGATTCACTCTTCCCAGTCTGGTGCAGGTCTACAATTCTTTTCCTGGTGTCCTTCGAAAGCTCTTTGGTCTTCGCCATAGTGGAGTTTGGAGTCTGACTGTTTGAGGCTGTGGACAGGTGTCTTTTATACAGATAATGTGTTCAAACAGGTGCCATTAATACAGGTAACGAGTGGAGGACAGAAAAGCTTCTTAAAGAAGATGTTACAGGTCTGTGAGAGCCAGAGATTTTCCTTGTTTGAAGTGACCAAATACTTATTTTCCACCCTGATTTACAAATAAATTCTTTAAAAATCCTGCCATGTGAATTCATGGATTTTTTTTTCACATTCTGTCTCTCACATTTGAAGTGTACCTATGATGTAAATTACTGACCTCTGTCATCATTTTAAGTGGGAGAACTTGCACAATCGGTGGCTGACTAAATACTTTTTTGCCCCACTGTATATTCATTACACATCTAAATAACCAGAATGTGCTTCAATTTCACAATTTTTTTTGTTTCATACATTCATTTCAGGCCTTTAATACACTGGCCTTTACCAAGTTTGATTTTCAAGATTTAAACCTTTATTGTCACATGCACACATGGACGTAGTTTTGACTTTAGAAGTGGGTGGGGCACAACCAGCATGAGGATGGAGGGTGGGGGGGCGTCTTTACAGTAAATATATTAAAAATAAGTATGAAACTACAGCCTAGAGGCTCTTTTATGCAATGTCAAGAATGCAAAACTGTCAAGTACACAGATGGCAGGAACGGCCAGACACACGTTAGCAAGTATCAGCAGAGCCAATAGATGAGCTCATGGATGGTTCTAATGGGAAACAGGCTTCAACCATCAACATATAGGGTGTTTCTCAATGTCAAGGCGCCTTGCCTTGCGAGGCGATGTCTTGCAAGGCCAGGCTCCTTGCTTACAAGGACACTGTCCTTCCTTGGTCAAAGAAAACAGTTATGGAACAGACTTGCATCACGTGACCGCGGGTTCCACGGCTGTCACATAACATCTTGTGACATGGGAGATAACGTTATATTTTATATGTATTAGTTTCAATATAAATATATAACAAGCCTTTTATTTTTTAAATTGTGTATGTTTATTAAATTAAAACTATAAGCGAGTTACTACACGCTAGCCACTGAAGCTGCATTTAATCAACCATAGATAACTTCTTTGGATCTAAAAAAACATTTTAAATTAGCTGACTTACTTTTAAACTTGAAAATTGTCCCTGAAGTAGCTGCCGGTCAGAGACGCGCCGAGCTGCAGCTGAGGGGAGGGGACCATGCCGATAGTCAGAACCCAGCTCCAACATGTTACAACCCATTTTCAAAATGCAGCATCATGGTAAATGCATGCACTGGGTTTTACCCTATTACATTCAAATTTCATGGTTAAATATTTATGTTACTTTGCTGTCCTCACTGGATGCCAAAATAATGAATTTGGACAAAAATTTAGAGACAAAGACAAAAAGAATCAATAATAGTAAACTGTAGAGAAATACAGAATATAAAGAAAGGCTGCTATTTCCAAATTTGTCCAGATATAACTACTACATTAGGTGGTATGTGCAACAGTTAGTAAAATATGCAGATTGTGCAGATAGTCTCATCATCAAATGAAAACTGGTGGAAATATAACAAGTTAATGGGCAAACTGATAATATTAATGTGCAAAGTGGAAATAAATGGTCTGATATAAGAATGTAACTGATTAGAAACATTTTCATTAATGAACTCCAAAGATTCTATTATTTTACTTGTTTTTTATGAATTCTGATTTTGTTCTTGATTACGGTAAAAAAAATCACCTGTTTCAGTCTATCATAACACACACGCACACCTCTGAATCTGCACTAAGTCATTTAGCAAACCGACTCCAATGATAAATTATTTCAAGTAATCCAGTAAGGTACTTGAGTAAATGCACATTGTTTCCTCTGATTGTTAATTTAAAATGAGATTTTTGATACTCTTAAAAAAAATCTTTCTCCAAAGAATGGTTAATGGTTGCCTGCCCTGCAACTAAAGTTCACAAAGGCTACTCTACCATAAAAAGTCAGTGTGGCTGAACTGAAAATATCCAGGGTGTGGGATGAGGGACAGGGATGGTTGTTTGGCAGGCCAGCAGCTGTTTGATGTCTCTTTGGTGAGAGGGCGAGACAGCGGTTAGGTGAGAGGCCCCAGGGCCAGAGCAGGGAGGAAACTGCTGAGGATTTCCATCTGAGGGCACTGCCACTCAGCCGTTCGAGAAGCACAGATGGACTCCACAAACCACACTCCAAAATTATCTCCACTCTTTCTGCAAATGTATCCTAGTCTGAAGTCTCACCTGGTATGTCTTAAACCAAAAACTGGAAGCAAAATAAAACTGGGAGACTAACACACGCTGGACAAGCAAACCAGGAAGCAGTAATAGAAATATTATGGGCCAAGCACACCCTTCCTGTGGTGACCAAAGCTGCAATGTTCCGGGTTAAACTGCGTGCAAAAGGAAATAGATGGTTGGCACGTAACATGGACACAGCTGTAGACGGCTCAAAAACACTCTGGAGAAATCTGCACCAATCGTCTGCTTTTAAAAAGATTCTGGTGGTTTGTTGAGGTTTGGAGAAAATACAGATGTGCTGAAGACAAACAGCTGTTTGCTTTGAATGCTGACATCTCAGAATTGAAACGTGACTCGTTCTAACCACATGGCTAGATTTGTTGTTCCTCAAAAATCTATTTTAAAAACAAAATTTTGTGTATCTTTTTTCTGTAATTGGTTTTGCAGCATAGGGCTTTTTTCGTTGAACAGCCTGCTGCATGTCTGCTGCTCCACATGAGGGGGCTATAGTCAACTAATCTGATGAAGCAATCTACATCTCCAAAGACTGAACTGCACCTGGAAATTTAAGTCAGCAACCTAAAAGAAACGAGCCAATTCACACTTCATTTGCTTTATTCTTCAGAATTCACAGAAAAGAAAAAACTCAACACCTTGTCACCAATTTGCAGGCAATGTTACATTCCATATTGAATAAGGTGAGCCTGGTTATGTACAGAAAAATGCTGTTAAGACTGCATCTGAAACGCTGATTCTGTGTGCTTTTGTGTGTCGGTTCAAAGTGGTGTTGGAGTCATCACAGCTTGATGCAAAGTCTGCTTAAAACATCTCCCAATTTTATTCAATCTTACAAATGGTGAAAAAGAAAAAAGAAAAATAACAACACTTCATTTACAATGGGTAATCAGTTAAAAACTTCAGTCATTAGGTACATCTCAGCCATAAAACCAGTAATATCAAAGTCTATACAACGTGCGTTACTACAGAATTTTTGAAACTGTGGAATCTAATGGAAAAGTGATGGCGCACCTATTGTTCGTTTTTTTTTTGTTTTGTTGACAGTTAGCTAAATCTATTTCAGGAATGGTTTGTGTTCACAGGAGCATTAAGCTTTAAAAGAGTTGTAAACAACTGTGCACTGCAATGACAACATTTAGGACTTGGTTAAGGACTTTTCCCTTTAAATAATCACAATGTGTCAGATCTTGCAGACACAGCTTTAGCTGCTACATCCAATTGCCCAGCACCAAATACTTTTGATTAAATATACGGAGGAAAAAAAGTCAGCAATGTGTTGTGTTTAAAAGTTAATCCACTCACATTTGCACTTTCACACTCACCCATGTTACAAATGCAAGCACCATGAAGCAGTGAGGAAGCAGCACACCCTCTGCTGCACCTCCTGTCCAACACCGCCAGGGACATTGCAGTCATTATGGATGAGATGGTTGCAGAGTAGTAAACATACATCAAGAAAAAGAAATGAACCAAAATAAACAAAAGAAAAATTCCCTGGTTTCAGACAAGTCCTCGCATTCCTTCAGACGGGCTACATCTTCTCCTTCATTCTGGTGTGGTTCAGCAGGATTACTCGGCGGCGGCGGCTGCTGGACTGGCTGCCGTCTCTGGCTCAGTGGGTGAAGTTTCAGCTGGTTTCTCTTCTCCTTCAGCAGCTCCCTCCGCCTTCACCTCCTCCACCTTTGGCTCCTCGGCTGCAGCCTCCTCGCTGGCCTCGGCTGGTTTGGCATCCTCAGCAGGCTTCTCTCCTTCAGCCGCCTCTGCCACTGCTGCCGCTCCCTCTTCTGCTGCCTCCTCAGACTCCTTCTTGGTCTTCTTAAAGGAAAAGCCGCTGAGCTTAAAAGAGGGCTTCTTGAAGGAGAAACGCTTTTTCTTCTGCTTGCCATCCTCGCTGGTGGACGGGGTGCCTTCTTCTACTTTGGCAGAGGTCTCCCCATTTGTGGCGGACGCCTCCTTCTCTCCACTGGCCTCTTCACCATCTACTTTCTCACCCTCTCCTTTAGGTGCCTCCTCAGTAGGAGTGCTTCCATTGACCTGCACATCAGCTTTGTTGGCTTCTTCTGCAGCAGGAGAGGCATCTCCATTGGTTTTGGCATGGCCATTTTCCTGGAAGGAGACAATATATTCACCTCATTGTGTCATTAAAAAATTAACAGAAAAGCTTGAAAATGGGGCTGAGGGTGGCAGTGTGTCCAAGAATAGCACGTGCATAGTCAAACTCCCAGAGCAGAGGCATCCAATCAGAAAAAAAGGCCACCGAAACTGCAGAAACATCTGTTACTAGGAGAATGACGACAGATCCGATACTGAGCAGCAACATGGGTTTTAGGATGCAGTACAGCCGGCGCCCACTAGGGGGAGTTCACCGTAAAGACGATGGAAACAAGTTCTTTTATTCATTCCTTTATCCATCAGAGTTCAATTAAATCAAGTTGCATTGCTCGATTTATGATTACTTTACTCATTTGTGGCGGGATGTCATCAAATTAGCTCATTTTATGGGCTGTATGAGTGCAAAAACGTGCCTTTTCTATTGAACCTGGCAACAAAGGCGTGGTACCGTTTTTTTAAAATGGCCATGCTATGGGGGGGGGGGGGGGGGGGGGGGACAAAAAACAGTGCTGCACACATTTCCACCAATTAAACCCTCATTTTTAAGTATTAATCCGCAATAATGTCTCTTAAAGGCCCTCAGGAAGTCATCAATGTAAACTATTAAATCATATTTGGTGATAAAAGGCGATTTGTTTAATTAGAGATGCGACAGACAAATGAGGCAGTTCAGGCGATTTCTAATCAAAGGACTTGACGCGGCTTTTGTGTAATTAAACTGTTTGGAAACTGTTGGGGGAGAATAAATAAATCCATCTGGCCACTTTCCCTAAACGCTGGTGAGCGTCTGGATGTGCCTACAAGCAACATGGAGCACGCCATTGACGCAACACATTGCTAAATTGAGACGAAAATCCGCGTGAGCAATTAAGACTTAAATAATTCAAAACTCGCATTTACCTGTCCGTTCGTCTTAGACGCAACAGCTGCGCCTTCTGCCGGCTTTTCCACCGCAGCTTCCTCTTTTCCAGCGGTTTTGGAGGTTTGCGCTCCCATGCTTTTGTTCCAACAAAGGAACCCAACCGATCAAATGAATGAACAAAGACCGCAAGCTTCCTCCCAAAAATTCAAGGCACGCCGAAGCCTCCACACGCGACAAAACCGAGGAAAAAACTCGAAACCAGATGAACTACAGCGGGACTAATAAACGCTCGGAGAGGATGTTGCGAAAAGAGGAAAAGAAATGCGAATTCTTCCTATTTTTTTTCCTCGAGGAGAGTTTGTAGATGGGAGAAATTGGCCCCACCGCAAATGAGATGCGGAGTACAACGCCCAAGTCCGCTGATGAATGGGCACAGGGGCTATGACGACAAATCCAGGTCGTCTCCACCAATCAGAAGTCCGGGATTCGAAGAGTGGGGAGGTGACGGAGCGGCGCAGGGAGGAGGGGGGGTGGGGGCGCGGACAATGGGAGAGACAACAACATGGCCTGCAACTTTCTGTTAGACTCTTAAGGTTTCACTAAACCACAAAGTACAACAATAAAACACCTCAGCGGTATAAAAACACACCAGTGACGTTTAAAATGATCACTCATTTAAAATAATTTTGCTTTTTTTTTTGGTCTGTTTGAGTCTGAAATGTCATGTGTTTGCCTTATTTTTAACCTCAAATAAATTATTTTTGGTCAAATGTCTTTAAAATGACCTGTTGCACAATTTTCTTGCTCTGAAGTGTTTAATTTGTTGCATTTTTTCATTTAATTCTGCCTTTAAGTGTTGTTTTGCCTCGTGTTTTTCCATGTAAAGCAGCCCATTCCTGTTGTTTTGGAGTCAGGAATATTATTTTTTTGAAATGTTGTGATTTTTTAATTTCCTTTTCCATCTTTAACGGATGCCTTTGAAAAAGAAAAAAAATCACAAATATGTCCTTAACTCAAAGGCATCCATCAGACTGTGTTGCTTTATGAGTGGAGAAAAAAGACCATTCTCCTTGCCATAGAGTGCTTTCAATGCATATTAAACACTATCCTGGGATTTAACCTTCACTTGGGTTTTATTTTAGAATGAATCAGACTTTATATACCTGTCAGTAAAACAGCAGCATGTCTACAGACATGTGAGCTGACATCCCAGCCCCTCTGGTGTTAAATTATCAAGGCACCCGACATGTGCCCTATTGAGTAAACAGACCTCCCCCTGTAATTCTGAGCCCCCCACGTCCATAACTCCCCTCATCTCTTCTTGCATAATCATGTCTTGTCTGCTTGTTGCAGCTGCAGCATCCCGGTGACCCAGATATAATGAGACTTTATGGCTCTCTTCTGCTTCTGTTGTCTGCTCCACCAGCCTGCAGTGCTTCAGCTCCACCGCCAGCGACAAATCTCCTTCCCTCTCTCTAATCAGCCATCACTGCATGACCCACATCTCCATGGTTACCAGTCCAAAATGGCTGCAAGGAAGAAGCTGCGTGTTGGCTGGCGAGAGCTGCAGCGGCTATGACCTCTGATTGTGAAGATGCAGGGTGAGACTGCATGGCACACGCAGATTGAGAGTGAGGATTAGGGTGACTATTTTCACCCCCGCCTGCCCGCCACCCCCCCTCCTCAGGCTAACTAGGCCACGTTCATTGTTGTGATATTCTGATGACATGCAAAGCTGCAATTATTATGAGGAGATGCTATGAATATGTAAACATGGAGACAAAGGCAGTGCATGTGGTGTTTGCCAATAAAAACAACAAAACTATGGATTTGTGAACATGAAAATCAACTGTTTTTAAACCAAACACAGCTAGATATTCTGCATATTCAAACTAAAGGTGTAATGCTGCTAACATGTATGTCTTCGTGCTGTAAACAAGGCAAACAAATGTCAGCATCAGACAGATAATCTCAGTAAATCCAGTTTTCATTGATGATGTCATTTACTGAGGGGAGAAATACCATCCAACCCAACCTGATCCCTAGTATCACCCCTTCACAAACCACAAACTGACTGTGATACAACATTGTTTGGAATGCTGACTTCAGTTTCACTATAGCTGCTAGACCTGATTACCAGTTTGTTGATTTACTAAATCACATTAATGGAGTCTGAAAAAATGAAGTAGGCTAAACAATCTCAGAGAACAACACAGAATGTGATTCTAAAGATATTCAAGAAAAACAGAACCATGGGAAACTCTCTGAAAGGTGTGAGTAACATTTGATCATGAGTTAACGGAATATTCAACCAAAAATTGAAATTTTGTCTGTTGATGTGTTTCCCAGAGTTAGATAAGTGGAAAAAAAACTATCTTTACCCAGTCCATTCATTCTCCTCACCCGGCTGTACTCCTTTCACTTTAGCTTAGCATAAAACACAGTGAGTGGATTGATCCAATAACTTAAGCAATTAATAACTTAAATTCACAAATTACCTTAAACATTAAATGCAATGGTAGATTAAATGTTTAGTCGGTGATTATCATGTTACATTTTTATACCCTTTTTCTTTTTATTCTAGAATTTGATGATCTAATATCAAAACTATAGGAAAAACTTGATATTTGAAAAATTTGAAGTATTTTACTATCTGATAAAGGTTTCAGATGTGTGCATGTTATTGTAGGGTTTGTAGGACTCACAAAACAAACATAATTCGTCTTTTTGTGTTTCCCAGTGATTTGAAGCTGCAGAACAGCGCTTTTGTTTGGCTGATTTAATCTGAAATTTCTAGAGAAGAATATGGTTTTTAAATCTCACTTGTCCTTATCAGAACCAGCTGGACAAACCTTACCCAACATCTTGTGTTTTTTTTTTTTCTTCTTCTTCTTCTTCGTGTTTATTGGCGGGTGACATCTAACGGCTAGGTGCATTTCCGCCACCTACTGTGCTGGAGTGTGAGCGTAAAAAAAACTAAATTCTATTCAACAGATCACTGTGTTTTAGATACTCAATAACCAACTTATATTTCCTTTCTTCACCACTTAACAAATTCTTTACATTTATCACTCCACCTCCTATGTTTTTTTTATTTCTCCCTGAGTTGTCCTCTACTTTCCTCATATTTTATGCAGTCACATAAAACATGTTCCACTGTTCCCCCCCCCCCCCCCCCCCCCACATCCACACACATCCACATAAACCTGTGGGATGTTTCCCTATCAGATGCATCGTATTATTAAGCTCAGTATGACCCAATCTTAATCTTGATATTATTCTTTGATCTCTACTATTCATTCTTATATTTTTCCATTTTCCTACTTTCCCTTGTATCTGAAACAAATGTCTTCCTTTCTCTTCCCTGTCCCACATTCTTTGCCACTCTTTATATGTGCTTTAATGATAGATTTAATTTCAGCGGCACTATATGCATTATTTATTATTTTCCTATCTCTTATTGCCTTTTTGCAAAATAACCTGCCATTTCATTTCATTCTACTCCTCTATGTGCCGGTACCCATAAAAATTTAACTTCCGTACCCAAATTCCTTAATCTAAATATGGTCTCATATATTTCATATAATACATCTATTCGACTCTTGGTAGACATTAATTTAACTGACACTAATACAGATAACGAATCAGTACATATAATTCCTTTTTAATCCTATTTTGTTCCATCCATTGAAGACTAAATAATATAGCTATCATCTCCACTGTGTACACAGTTAAATGATCTGAAGTTCTTTCCCTAACTACTACATGTTCCTTTGATCCATCTGTAAAGATTTGCACAAAAGACTCATATCTTTTTAATCTATCTTCTGTAATTTTATCCCAATTTCTTTCTTGTGTTTTTTATTCCAGCATTCTCAAAAAGAGGAGGATGTGACCAAATCAGTGCCCACATTATAAAATCCGATTGGTCAAAATAGCTGTCAATCAAATCCCTGGGTCGGGTCGGTCCGCCTCAGCTGTACGCAATAACAATTGCGTCAAAATCAACTGAGGCAAACCGGAAATTAAATAGGCTTTGCTGTTCTCAATTAAGAACAAAATGCGTCAATTAGTATTAACAGTGTTTGTTAAAAAACGCTGCTTCTATGTCATCGGAAGTTGAATAAACAAAGACCATTATAAGTACATTTAATTTCAGTTATATGGTAATGATGTTATTGCCGTTATCTTAGGAGAATAAAGGTAAAAACCCGGCTGTTGGTGATGCATTTTATTTTGAAAATCTTTGACCGGAACCAGCTGGTGTTTCTACGCTGACTCGACTCTCTCCGCCACCGTCATCATCCGTACACACGGCGGCGACAGGCGCTCCGGAATCGGCAGGGACGAGTCTCCCCCGCCGCCGTCCTCCTTCTCTGAAGAATAAAAACAGAAGAAAGGAAACACCAGCGGACACACACGATCCCCTGGAAAACTCCGATGGATTAGTCTGATTTTCTGTGGTAAGCGTGATTTATTTCTCGTGTTTTATTCCAGCTGGTCCACCCGCCTCTGCCTTGTCCCTGATTTTTGCTCTGTGGGTTGAATCCATCGCGACACACAACAAGAGGAGATAAATAACACATTCCGAGCCGCCGCCATCCGCTCTCTCGTCCTTCCCGTGGCTGGGATTGGTCTCCTTTCCTGGGAACTTTGTGGGAAAACGAAGGATTGAAGGTTGTTGGTGATGTTTTGCGGCTCTGCGTTTCTGAAGAGGGGCTCTTGTGTTGCAGCTGCAGCAGGGATGGATGGGCTGCAGAACAGAGCTGACTACTAACAGGCCGTGCTCAGAGCGACCTGCATACAGCCTCCTATTGATCCGCCGCCCAGTTAATCACCATATTCGTTTTTTTATTAGGAAAACTAATTGCTTTGCTGCTAAATTTCCAATTAAAGCTGCCTTAATCGGGTTATCTGTTGTGTCTGGAGGTGCAGTCATCCATCTAGCGTAGGCAAACACAGCAGATGATGTGCGTGCGTCAGTGCGTGTGCGTGTGAAGCTGAGAGCTCAATGTTTCCATGTGCAAAAAGTTAGGTAATAGTTTTGGATTAGTAACGTTCATTCAGCACTCTAAAGGCTCTCCATGAATGGTTCTACGTGATAGGTCACGTTTTTATGTCTTTTTGCATAAATAATTAGATTTTTCAGGGTTATATTGAAATATATTATTGAGTATTAATAGTCAATACATCATTAGATTACTTTGGTTAAACCTCACAAAAACAGGATTTGGGAATTTGTTGTTTTCACTTGTCAAATGATCAAAATTTAATTATCGTCTAAATAGTTGTTCAGTTTTTTTGAAAGATTTTTATTATAAGTCTGAGAAGCAACAAAAATGGTCAGGTGATGAGAAATGGCCGATTTTAAGCCTTTGGTGAGGACCTATCTGAAACTCTAATATCAGTCATTGTTGTTTTTAGGGTGGGGGTGTGTTCATGAACATGCCATTGTCAAGTTGCATTAAAAAGTTTAAAACTTTTAAAGGGTCTTGAATTAGCCATATCTAACTGGTAATGTACAACAGCAAAAGCAGATTATTGTGGAAAGCTTTACTTCCAGAATCAATTTAATGTTTATCAGAATTGATTAAAAAAATAAGAAAATGTCTCTAAGAATCGTCCAAAATCGGTATCTGCTTTTCAGAGCTGCATGAGGATAAAAATCGAGATCGGGATGACTCGTTTGTGGAAGTGTCTGAGTGAGTTACGTTGATTTATTTTATTTTATTTTGCTTGGATCATTTTTGTCCCGTGCTAATTGTGCAAATCTGCTATTTCAATCAAATAATGAATTTCTTGCATAAGACTCTGCTGACATTGACGAGATTTGCTACTGAAAGTATTGGTATTATTACCAGATCTGCTGTAGGATGTGCCAAAGCTGTGGCTTGCATTTCCTCTCAGCTAAAACTAGAGATGGACCATATTATTAAGGTTTTTGATCTGCCAGTACCAGTTTTGGCTGATTCTGATTTACCACCCTGCACCAAAAGAGCTATGATCAACAAAATATATCTTTAAAATTTCTGATTAATCTGAAAATTATGATTCTAGAAGTAAAAACGCCCACATAAAAGATCTGTTCATGAATGAATGAATTATCCATTGGTGATGTCAATGTCATTGATGCCTATTGTTGTTGGATTTTGACCACTAGTTGATTTTCAGATACCCTTTTCACTATATCGACACCAACAGAATCACCTGGTCATGATTTCTAGTAGATTTGTACCCTGGAAAACTTTTCAACCCAAGTCGAGACAAAATCCGATCTTGCTTCTATTTTTTTCCCTGTCTGGAAAGTGTTCACCTACTAAATCTTTCTGACTTTTCACAATAGACTCAACGATTTACAGCCATGACTCAACAGTCCACTCAGAGCACCGTGACACTTACAGCACAGCTAGTTTCAAACCACATACTGTATACGGCTCAGCTGTGGCTTTCATAACTGCCTCTGTGCGCGCACAGCACTTTGAAAGCTTTAACACTGCATTTCATTGTGTTCATAATCTTGGAGCCAAGTAAAATGTGGCCATTGTCTTGTTGTTGATACACTGAATGAACTCAGTTGTCTGACACAAGCAAATGTTGTAACTATTCGGAGAATGGCAGCCATAAGGAGGAGATTGTCCGTGTTGTACCAGATCCAGTAAAAGTGGAACAGTGTGTGGTTTCTCACATGCATTTAAGAAACGGCACACGACGACAACCCCTTTTCTTTTACGCACGTCTTTGTTGACCGAACAAAAAGTAGAATTTTGGACCTGAATAAGGTCAGTGCGTGTGTGACATCAGTGGGTGGGAAGTGGGAACCTTGACTTGTCCGCATCAATGATCTGAGTGTAAAGTGACCCTGCACTTTGATTCGAACAGTGCCGCTGTGTTGTCAGAGGACTGTTTGAATTGCAAAGTGCTCAAACTCATGAGGGACTTGCAAGTTAAGTGCTGTTAAATAATAAAGACATTCCAGCTGTGATGACCAGACAAGCACAGTTTTAATCAACTTTGTGTTTAAATTAGGTTTCCTTTGTACGTCACTTATATTCAAGCAGCAAGCCGAAGTTTTACCCTTTTCAGGAATCAAGTATGGTTTTTTTCAGAAATCTGGAAAAGTGATAGTTTAACCCTTAACTGTGATACAATGTAGAGAATAAGTCATTTCTTTATTGTTAAGGCTGCTTCTCAACCGTACTTGAGTACTACTCGGCATTAACCAGTAACGTTAAACACGTTTACAGACAGATGTCAATCAAAGAGCCTCTACTTGTTTGCAGAAGTAACAACCCAGATGCAGAGTTGGTCATATTTCTCATGGAGAAGTAAGCCTTTAAAAGAATAAATAAACAGCATAACATGTCAATAATACTTGTAAAACGATGAGTTTTAGCCCTGTTGGCTGAATAGAGGTGCACGTTCATGTATGTGAGTTGGGGTAGACCGATACATCAGTCGGTCGGCCGATATATCGAGCAGATTTTTACTATTAGTGATGCACTGATATGAACTATTTGGGCCGATACCGATATTAACTCATTCATTTCCAGCAGTTTCCTGATCAGAAAAGCCCTTCGCTGCCAGCATTTTCAGTTTTTTTGAAAAGTCACAGAACGTTGCACTCTATGATGATGTCGACGCCAAAACAACCAAAACAAAGAGGAGACTCACCTCTTACATCAGGAAGAATCCGTGCGTTTTGAGCGTTATCCTGTCTTTCATATTACGATGTCGAATTGTGATCGGCAGAAGCTTTTACGGTTCGCGCCTCACTTTTTTTTTACAGCAACTGCCCAAAACGATCTCCTAACACATGGATTTTCTGCTTCCTGGTCATGTGACATGTGACGTACGTGGATGAAGATCGGCTTTAGAGCTGAGATGTTTATTCTCATGGTGCGGGGGCTCGTTCCGACACCTACACAGTAAAAAAATGCAAATGACGACTTTAGTCGTCAATGGCAGTTAATGAGTTAATATCACTGTCGTGGCCGATAACCGATATTTATCCGATACCGATATACTGACATTAATGATCCTAAAGTCAGCAGATTTTGTATTGAATCAAAATGATTAAAGCTTTACGTTAGAACGTACACACACATCACAAACATTTGCACTTCTGAAGTCATTACAATCACCGTCACATGGCTAAACAAATACACATCACCCCCCTCACCCTCTGAAACAAGTAAACAAATGGAAATAATATCGGCACAGTTTTATTTATTGGACCGATATGTTAAAAAGTGACTAATGTTGGACGATAACTATATTGATACCGATATATTGTGCATCTCTATTTACCAAATTTATCAGCATCAGTCGGAATACTTCCTTAGTAAAGCTAATTTAAGTCAGACACATCCCTGGGCAGCCCAGTGTTTCTGCAGAATTTAATTTCAATGTATATTTACGTTCTTGAATAACATCTGAATAATTAATACTTATTAAAAAAATTTCAATTGAAATTTATTTTTATACACCAGTTTAGAATCTTGGTTAGTGAACTGATTTGTTTGATTAACTTTAATTAGATGTCTGATTTTAACACTGAGCAGTGCACAAAATTAAGATGTAACATTTGGTCAAATTCAGTGTTCATAAACTGATTGAGCTTCAGAAGATTTTGTCGTCGTCATCTTCCTCCGCTCATCCGGGTCTGGGTTGCGGGGGCAGCAGCCCAACTAGGGAGCTCCAGACCGTCCTCTCCCCGGCCTTCTCCACCAGCTCCTCCGGCAGGACCCCAAGGTGTTCCCATACCAGATTGGAGATGTAACCTCTCCAACGTGTCCTGGGTCGACCCGGGGGCCTTCTGCCGGCAGGACATGCCCGAAACACCTCCCCGGGGAGGCGTCCAGGAGGCATCCTGACCAGATGCCCAAACCACCTCAACTGGCTCCTTTCGATCCGGAGGAGCAGCGGTTCTACTCCGAGTCCCTCCCGAATGTCCGAGCTCCTCACCCTATCTCTAATGCTGAGCCCGGCCACCCTACAGAGGAAACTCTTTTCGGCCGCTTGTATTCACGATCTCGTTTTTTCGGTCATTACCCAAAGCTCATGACCATAGGTGAGGATTGGGATGTAGATCGACCGGTAAATCGAGAGCCTGGCCTTCTGGCTCAGCTCCGTCTTCACCACGACAGATCGGCTCAGCGTCCGCATCACTGCAGACGCCGAACCAATCCGCCTGTCGATCTCCCGATCCCTCCTACCCTCACTCGTGAACAAGACCCCGAGATACTTAAACTCCTCCACTTGAGGTAGGACCTCTCCTCCGACCCGGAGTTGGCAAGCCACCCTTTTCCGGTCGAGAAGATTTTGTGCATCAGCTAAAAATATTAGTGAGCATGAAAATAAGGAAAATATCTAGATATCATGAATGAAAACTGGCCAAAAAATCGTTAGCTCATATCGGTATTCACAATAAAAAAACAATATCAGTCGACCTCTATACAAAAGT